ATCCAGGCATCCGTGCTACCCAACAACTTGCCTCAAGATGTTACGTATTGCTCAACATGATTGCAGATGTCAGACACTGGGCGCGATGAAAGAAAGAACTCTGAAAATAAAACAATCATTTTTAAAAATCGGGTTGGGACACGCGTGTCCAAAAAATAATTTCACGCGAAAAACAAAAAATCAGAGCAATATTGACTGCGGAAGATTCATATTAGTTGCGTCTGAATCATGCGCGCAAAGTCCATTAGGTGATGGAATGGTCATACCCTCTTTCCACCTCAACGAGATGGTCACACTCTCTCCGCCTCAACGTGATGGCCACACACTCTAAGAAAAAGAGGAGGAGAAAGGTAGCAACAGCGACTGTTCCTCCTTGTTGCAGACAAGTTGCCCAGAGAAGGGAGGAAAGGAAGTTCAGATGAAAGAAGAAGGTTGAGTTGCTCCTTTTTCAGTTGGTGCAGGGGCAAAACAGGAAAAAAAAAAAAAAAGGCGCAGGGGTAAAACATCGCGCTACTGACCAAGTGGTAAAAGGTGATTTCCCCAGAGGACCGTGTTTTTTTGTTTTTTGTTTTGTTTTTTTCGTAAAGTTTTATTTTTATTTTTATTTACCAAAACATACATAAACAAACCCAGACCGATAGAAGGAAAATTAAAGTTCTTATTATTCACCGAGACGTTTTCCTCCTTCTCCAGGCAGACCGGAGAAAGCTGTCGCCCTCCCGACTCGTCTTCTTTCGGTTTCGTTTTTCGAGCACATCGCGTGCCGTAATTATTTGAAAGCAATAAATCAAGCCGCTCCAATGCTGTTTGAAGCCATGAGTTTGTTTCCCCGCACGGCACGTCGTAGCCTGTATTTTTATTGTAATGTTTGTTTTTCTATTTGTACTGTTCGCGCAAAGCTGCTATTGCCGTCTTGAATTAATCTCTGTAGAGCGGATATTCACTCAGCTGGAAGTGATGCTTCACGGGCTGAGAAATCGCTTTTCGATCAACTTGAATGCAGTCAAAGCCGCGACTTGCGGCAGGTGTTAAGTGTACGGAACTACGCCGTGGCGAGCTCGAAAACTTTTAGCGCTCATCCTAGCACGCCACTTGGAGGGCAGTTCCTCCAGGAACCGTAGCATATTTAAACAGAAAAATAAAGGGTAGCTTTTTTTTCGATTTTACCTACTATTGTTTTTTAATGCTAAAATTCCACACAGTAAATATACGTACTTTCCGTCACGATTTCGTACTGTTGTCCTTTCCCCAGAGCGGAATCGCTCTCGGGGACGAGACAACCGAGTCACATTGGCCACTGGACGATAGGAGCTTACTGTTCAGACCAGCGTTCCAACATGACTGTCCGGACGTCGATCGATTGCAATTAAACTTTTTAATGTAAAGCGGAATGTCAACCTGCGACACCCCGCCCCCTCCGATCACGGCCCGACCAGCGGCATCGATGCCCGACAATTTGCAATCTCATCTTGTTGTTACACCACCGATACGCGAACACACGGTCACATCGGCGATAATTCCAGTCTTCTGTTCACAACCCACAACACTGCCATCACGATGTTGCAGCTATGTTGTTGACACGCACAAACACAGAACCACGTTGAACGCCAGTTGCACTCGGCATCGGAAAACAAAACCGAACTTAGCACGGAAGGCACCCAGGCAGCCGGCAGCAAAACGTGCCTGTCTTGGACGCAGTTCCTGCGATTTCCATAACGTCGAAAACGTCGACTCAGTTTCGCGTGGTTTCGCTACTGTAGTTCCGTGCCGCGTGAGTCCCGCAATCCAGAGACGGCCATCTTACCCATGCAGCGTACGTGGCGCTGCTGGCACTGCTTCGGAACTTCGCTGTTTCTAGCGGCTTCATTTGCTCGTTTGATAAAATTAGCGATAAAAACGTCAATGAAACCGAAATGTTCTGCACGTTTAGACTAGAAGACGGAATTACAGGCGGGCTTCGCTACCGCTGAAGCTCAATCAACTCAACAGCTATTTATTAAACAACGTGCGGGACCTGCTCGAAAAACGAAACCGAAAGAAGATGAGTCGGGAGGGCGAAAGCTCTCTCCCGTCTGCCTGGAGAATGAGAAAAACGTTTCGTTCCTCCTTTTTTTCTCGTGTCCGCTTGGGGGCGCGTCAGTATAGGGAGGAAGACGCGCCGTTGCTACTTTTTTCCTCCATATTTTCAATCAAAATTAACTGTTGGGCTAGTTGGCTACACATTGTATAAAAATTCAAAAGCGCAAACACCAAGGAAAAGAAGAGGGGACAGGACAGAGCGCTTTTGTCGCGCTCTGTCCTGTCCCCTCTTCTTTTCCTTGGTGTTTGCGCTTTTGAATTTTTATACATTCCATATTTTCTTAGAGTGTACCGACTAGTTTGCGTCTCGCGTCGTCAATATTGCGATATTTGTGGTTCCCTAAAATGTATTTCTTTACACGCGCGTTCGAACGGAACTGTTTAAAAGAAAACATTTATTTTTCTTTTGAGTGACCCTTAATGTTGAGCTGCGACCGTTCAAAGATCACTCGTCACACGAACAAACACTTGGCTGCCTTCACACTTTCTTACGACCGCTTCGACAATGTTCACCAAGATTTAGTCGGACACCTTTCTCCATCAAGAGGTTGCCGCCACCCCCTCACGTCCGTCGACCACCTCCCGCGATAGCCGGAATTTATACTTATTGAAGACATCTTGTGTCATCAACAATTTTGTGTCTTCAAAAACTTGATCCATATCATAGATGCTCACCATACCCACACCAGCGCTTAGCACCCGGCAGGCGACAGCATCGTAAAAAAAATTGAATCGACAGTTTGGAGTGTTACTAAATGTCACCGATTCACAATCAACCTGGGCGTATAGTCTTCCACTCATTATGCTCAAACTTCTCAGAGAAATTAAGTTGATCTTGAATGGAGTGTCGCCCATCACGTTTATGGAATAAATCTGCGTTTACCTGGGCCTTTATTTTTATTCTTCCTCACAGAAAACCATTCTGGTGGGAACAGACGGGGGGTCCCCTGACTATTCTCACCGGCTTCGTGCAGCAATGTACTAAGATTGCACGTACTGCGATATCACATGCTATCGTAGTACATGCCGCGTACTATGATAGCATGACATACTAAATTACAAATAGCGCAAGGACAAGGACAGTCGAAGTAGTGGACAGGACAGGCGCTAACTCACAACTTGCGGTTTTATATAAATCTAGAAAGAAGAAGGTGAAGGAAGTGGCTGGTTTTGAAAATATAAGAAATAATTCTATTTCTAGCCAAGGCGTTCTAAGAACGGTAGCTCTATTTGTCCTAGCACTATTTGTGACATAGCCAACTAGCCTGCCAAAATATTTCGATAGCAAAGCGTCAACTCCGCGTATTCTTCAGCACCGACCTTGCGCAATCCGCACTACGCCTTTGTGTGTAGGGATACTGTTCGAAGGCCCCTTCAAAATACCTATACTGCCCCAATTGAAGATAATATACCGATTTCACTAAGTGTCCCACGCATGCGGGACGCTGCTATAAATTGAGTTCAGAGGAAGCAGGCGATAGTGCAAGAGATGGTTTATGCCGTCTAGCGTTTTGTTCTCGCAGAGCTCGAGCGAGGCTGCTCCACGTGGACAATGACTAAAGTTGATGTCATGCACAGCGGAAGCGGCTGCGTAGCAAAGCTGGCTGGTGACATCGGTTTATTCACCGCAGCGCAAAGCATTTTGCCCTGGAGATCAAAAACAAGCAGGAAGTCATCTTTTTGGACCGCCTCAAGTAAGCAGACCACGATGAGACATCCAAGGAAGGCTTCGTCAAAGTGTTTCCAGTTTAACACTGAGGAGTTGGTTTCCAGCCGCCGTCACACATCCTGAAATAACTTTTCGCTTTGACCTTGATGAACCTAAGACGTACCACATATTTGTATCACCCAAGACCCGTCAAAGGCTCATAAAAGCTACGAAACGAGGAGAGGCGGGGGGGGGGGGAGGGAGGGGGGGGGGGGGGGCGGGCTTGCAATGGCGAATAAGACGACAGTAGATGTTTCGCTTCTTGCACCCCCCCCCCCCCCCCAACACACACACACAAACGAGCGCTGGTGGTTCGAGACACGAGCAGCAAAACAACTACTGATCTCGACACCGACAAACATAGCAGCCTGTCACAATAAATGAGTTACGCAACAAACCTAAATTAACCAATCACACGCACCAAATATTTCTTATATTAACTGATATCGTGAATTTAATCACTCTCAGCAAGTGCCTATTACCGCTTTGTCATTAAGAATCATATGGATTATGATTGGTATGGATATAAACGCCAGCAAAACCCAGGGTGAAACACAGGTGTTATTTTATGGTCGTAGTCAGAGCTTTGCAATATATAATTAAGATTCTTGAGTACCTGTACATCTATAAGTGAACAAAGCGCTTTCGATGGCGTGCCTTATCAAATGAATCTATCAAGATGTATCATGCCGCATTAGAACAAGGGCCAGGTGTCTTGATATTGACTAGAATTTGATTTACAGCGCAACACAAATTTATAGCCTTTTAGAATGCCTTCTATTTTTCACCTTTGTCACATCAGTTCAAGACCCTTTAATTGTTTAGGGGCTCTAGGCTGCAATAGATTAATCCATGGTAAATCTTTAAGTTGGGGATTTGATATCTAAATGCTAGCAAGATTTTTTTTCCCGCAAAAAAAAATATAATTAGTTTTTATATTTATTATTATTGTTCTAAAATTACCTCACGGTTACCACGTGTTTTACTTTCTACATGTATTTCGTAATTTTATCTCGCACGTTTATGCTAACTAATTCATTGTTTAGACGGGAAAAACTTCGCAATATGAAATTCTAAAGACCCATTGAGATGTCAACTTCCACAGCAATGACAGTTGAATAACAAAACGGTGGTACTGTCGCTATTCAGGATTAACACAATACGTACACGTGCGCTCTGTGGTGTATAAATACTGAGGGTAAGCATTCCCTGCTAGTAGGGGCATCTAAACCTTGACAACCTTAACGAATTTGCTCTCTTTGCATTTATTATCTGTTGAATTTGGTTAATTATTGAAAATAAGGAATAATGAAAGGGACGAGCTTTTACGTATTGTTTTGTTTCTTTGGTATGCCCGTGTTATGCTTAATCAAATGATTACGGTATTTACTGACATAGTTCATGCTCTACCAACAGGTGCGATTATATGCGATGACCCACCTAGATGCACGTCTGATGCATACGACAACTATGTAAGTGTGTTTAACAGCAGCTGAAATTACTCTTTTGCTTATACGCCAATATATTTTCTTTGTAATTTGCACTTTTTGTGTAAAATGGCAACTGCATGTTCTAAATAAGCTTTTAAGGTACACTACGAAGCAATTCTGACCACTACAATTCTATTAGGAGAGAGAGTGGTTTAGTTTTTGCGCAGGGGTTGCGGTGACGTCAGTAGGACGCCGAATTCTGATTGGCTTTGATTGAAAGGATAGTGATTAGACCTCAATGCTAGATGCCTCGGGGTCTACCCACTATTTGTTTCTGAATCAGCCAAGAAGAGCTCGGCGCTCTGACATCAATGTAACCCCTGTGCAAGTAGCAGACGACCTTGCACTCTGCACTGGCACTCTATGAACTTTCATACGTGGCAAATTGAACATTACTACAAAATCTGTGAGCGATCTGTTATAATGAAAAATACAAATTTGTTTGCCTCTTGTCTTGATTAAGCGGTCTTTGGAGCCAAATGTTGAGTACAATGTTTCTTTTTTTTTTGCTACTTTATTGATTGTCAGTCTAGCTATACGCTAGGAATTTTTTATTTTGGTAGAATTCTTTAAAAATCACTCTCATATTTCCTCCCAATTGAGTGAAGCGCGGCGTGGTACAAAGGTAGAAGTTAGCGGAGATAGCCATCAGTCAAATACTTGTGCCGCCAGCAACCACCAGTTAACTACCTGCTGTTTTGACACGGGTCGCCCGTTAACATCTGAAAAGTTTCCCCCACGATGTTCAGTCGCCTCAGTTTCTTTTCCTCAGTCGCCTCAGTTCCTCAGTCGCCTCAGTTCCCTAGACGACGACGGCGCAATGCTTCGAAAAGACGTGGGGACACGAGCCTGGTAGTTGGATATTCGACCTGATCGTCGACTGCGTTTCTCAAGAAATAATATTCATCATGTGACCATTTTATCGATAAATTGAATTACAGATACATTTTTTATGTTCATTGCGTCTGTGCGATATTAAGTTTCACTTTCAGAAACCGGAATTGTAGTACTTATACCCCTTGTCCTATAAATTACAACTCAAAATTTCAGTTCCACTAACAACTCACTGACGTTAAACCGAGTGTACCAACTTTCACGAGCGGCTAGACTGCGGAGTGGTACAACTCATTAAAATAGCTAATGTACATGTTGCTGTCTACAAAAAAAAAATAATCGGTTTTTGTTTGTCCTTACAGCAAAACCTGAGTGTTTTGTTGTGTGTAGTCTTTGATATGTACTTTAGCTGTTTAATAAGTTATATCGCATCGTTGTCAAGCACTTCGTAAACGTTGGCGCCGTAAGTTCGACGGCAGTGTGGTGTACGTCAAACTTACGTTTTGGGGCCCATTACAGAGGACAAATCGGTGTAAGGCTACACACTTTTTAGAGTATTATTACTTGTGTATGCACACTCCATGGCGGATCAGTTGGGTCTCGCTTATCGACCCATGCACAGAATGCGGTGAAACTAAATGAAACTCATCCAGCCGAATTCGCGGGCACGTATGTTTGGGATGGAATGCCAACAATATGAGCTACTCGTCCTGCTACAACAGCGCAGCGCCAACCGCCTCAGCCGCGCCTCACACTCATCTTCCTTGGACCCTTTTTTTATTTATTTTTTTGCCTCACGCGTAACACTTGGTGTTAGCCAAATATTTTTCTATTAAATACCCGTTACAACGTGAAAGTCGACAGCTTTTGCGTTAAGATAAGGTTAATCAACAGGCGAGCTGATTAATGTTACACAGGATTTTACCCACAGTCGATGGGCGACAAAGGGGACAAGGGACTTGCGTGGTTGTCCCTTGTCCCCTTTGTCGTTCGCCGTCTCAGGTTAGAATCACGTTTTGCGTCAAAACGGCTGGAGTTTTCGCCATTGATTTGAGAGTTATGCCTGCCGCCGCATTTTATCGTGGACAGGCTTCGAGACAGTGGAGGCAGTAGTTCTTGCTGGTTTTGGCGAATCCGGTCTCTCGGGACAATGGCGGCAGCCTTCTCTCACGGCGCAGCACGGAAGTATGAGAGCGTGGACAGGTGATACGGACGCGCTCTCTTGAACGCGGGCTGTCCAAGCATATAGGGAAAATTTTGCGCTGCAGGAGCCCTGTCTAACCCAAACGAGCGGAGTATACACTCCGTGCGGGAACTATAGGGGGCGCTCTGAAAAACGCGCGCAGCGCCGCTAGCGAAGGAGCTGGCGTTCGACTGTGAGGCGCGTTCAGCAGCCTGCGGCGCCTTTTCGCATGCCAAGCTGTGGCGGCGGAAGCGCGCACGGGCGGAACTTTTGCTTTTTGAGCCCATACGTTGAGGGTGACGTTGCATGAGTGCTGGGGCAGAAGGGCATTTAGCTGTTCTCCACTTCTTATATATTGAGTTTGAGTCGTTATTAGGGGTAATCTCTCTAGTTGCGGCCGAAAAAGGAGTTGGAGCAATTTTCCGAAAAACAAGACGGCCGCCACCTTAATTGCTCTGAGTGGGAAATTTATTTCGCTCGTCGCTGTAAACCTAGGACTGCTGGAACGATGATATTTGGAGGCGAGTGAGATGTTCACTAAGTTTCTGCACGAAGAGTGCCAAGTTTCTTTAATACAGCAGGTGTGAAAGTTATGTTTCTAACGAATAAAGAAATAAAGCTGTGCGGGATATCCAATTTTGAACCCAAAATGTTGTGTTATAGCGAGCTCTGCAAACTGCAGATTTAGGCACACAGGTGCTTGGACTTGACAGCAACATGACACAGCACTCATTATACAAAAAAAAAAAGGTGGCATAGGGAAACCAGGTGAAAATTTGGTTTGGGCGGCGTAACTCAATGGGAACCGGTTTGACCATGAAAAGGCTGTCAAGAGAATACCACTGGTCGGGGGAGGTGGAGACTTTACAGGTAGGAAGGGACTAGTGGGACTGCACTTCCAATTGAAACAACTTTACGAAAGGTGGTTCCAAAGCCGAGAAAACAAAGTTGTCGGCCAACACACGGTTTGGCCGCCAAGGGCTTTTGCGGTCAGCTGTTGTGCAATAACCTGTTGTGCGAGGTGCTGATTTTCGGCGCACAGGTACTTTGACATGACCGTGACTTGGCATAACACTTATTATAACAAAAGAGTTGGCGTAGAAAAACCAGGTGTAAATTTACTTTGGGCGGCGTAACTAAATGGGAACTGGCTTTGACCGTCAAAGGCTGTCAGATAATACCACTCATCCTGGGAGGTGCACACTTTACAGCTAGGAAGGGACCAGTGGACGGTACTTCCAGTTCGAACCACTTTGCGATAGGTGGCTCTAAAGCCGAGAAAAAAATTGTTGCCTACAGAACTCGGGGTGTCAGCGTTTCCACATCCAAAAGGAGGCTGATCAAGAAAGAAAGCACACCACATTAACTTCCATACTCGGGCGTCGATTCTCCAGTGATTCCGAGTTTCATCGTTGTTTTCTTTAGATTTATATTTGTCACTTTTTTTACCGTTCGAATCTTTCTTCATGAAGTACGGATTGCGTGCCATACTTGTCCGGAAATATCATCGACACGTACGATGGGGAGGAAACTTCTTTGGAGGGCATTCCTCCAACGAAATTGGCACTGCAATCCCGCGAGTGTGGGATGGCATTTCAGTTCGTCTTATCGGCGCTGACACATGTAGGCGTTACTGGTACGAAAACAAACGCAGAGCGCAAAGCGGCAGTGTAGAATATGTCAGCCGTGCCGACACAGTGGCAGACATGATCGGGAAACCAAATTTCTCGCGTCGTACGGCACGGCTCCATCGTTGTCGCTGTCCCACAAAACATCGGCGAGGTGAAAAACTGTGAAACTTTGTCGCCACGAGATACGACGCATAAATATTGAAGCACTTAATGACGCAGCACAGGCAGCACTTCATGCTGTGAACCCAGCGCAACCGCACCACGCCGACTTCAATGCGTACCAACGTACGCGGCGTGGTTTCGGTTTCGTTTTCTCTGGGGTTCTCACTGCCTACCTTCGGTACAGGCCGCGCGGCGGCGCGCCAGTCGCGTCGCACGGAGTGTATAATATGCATCCTCCTAGTGCAGTATTTGGCTTAGCCACCTGCCAAAATTGACTACAGGGCGAGAGACTTTAAAGAGTCTGATAATACCTGTCTACTCATATGGTTCCGCTGCCTTTGTGTAGATACCATTGTTAGCATATTTCTTTCAAATGATTAAAAAAAAGGCATCTTGAGCTCTCGTTCGTTTCCTACGGCTTGAGCAAACTGTCCAGTACTCTAATCTCTAATCTTACTCTAATAGACAGAAACCCGTTCTATACCCGGGCATCTGAAATATTAAGAAATACGCCTAAAATATTTTTCAACTGAAACTGATTCATTCATTTTTTTTTCTGACCTACCATTATATGAAAACATAATTTGTTTTTCTTTTTTGCATGTGAGCCAGCCGGGATTTGCGCCAGGCTGCACGCGCAATTGCACAAATAACTATGAAGTCGAACCTGCCCGTCGTTACAATGATGGTGTCTTCTGCTTTGTAAGTAAACATACGCCTTTCTTGACACTTTTAGTACTTCTCATTTTCTTCGCGTGTTTGGTGTAATTTTTAATATTTAATAGGCTTTACCTGAATTAGGTATTAAAACATACTTCCATGTAATAGTCCTATCCCGGCCATTCATAATGTTTCGGCACAAAACACAATGCATAACGTTTTGACTAACACATTTTTAGAAGCGATGCTTCGTTTTTTCTATGCGTGTATAGCATGCATTGAATGTCAGTCACCTTCAACATAAGCCTAAAAGAGCTTGGACTTAGTACAACGGTGCTGTTCAATGAAAGGAAAGGGGAACCTTGCACACTGATTGCCTGAATAACAAATATCTCTCAGTTATTCGCGGCGTCTGATTGATCCAGATAATCCGGTTGCGTAATGATAGCGCTCGGTTTCTTAAACACACGAAACAATTTTAGCAGTACGATTTATTGAATAAACGCAACCCTAGGATGCAACCAAAGGCTAACCACTCAGATAAACGTATAAGTTAAGAATGATTTCAAACTCATAAGCATTTCTGAAGCTCGTGAACGTCTCTGTGTTGCAAAGGCTCCGCAGGGGTCTCTACAGTAGAAGTTGGAAGATTGGAACCCTGGGTTGTTCATTCCCCAGCACTCCGTAAACATCGCACATAATCTTAATAGAATGTGTATGTTAGCCACAGGCTAGCAGCAGTTGCAGGACTTGTTTAACCTACTTCCGTCATTCTCAATGCGTCGTGAAACTGTGGCAGAGGATAAGACGAGAATGTGCGGAGACGTAAGAACGCCGAGCCCTGGCTAGATAGATAATTGAATAGACCTCAAGCCAGCAGCCTTCGTTCCCACTGCGCTCGTTGAACGCGTTAAAACGCGGAACGCAGGCGTTCGGCGTTTGGCTCTCGCATTTGAACGCTTCCGACGAGTGAAGTTGAGACAAAATTAGCTAGCTTTAGGTCTACCAACTAATCATTCGAACCAAAAATCGGAGTTCTACTGTCCCCGCACGCTGTCGTCTCTTCCCTCTCTCAATTTCACGCTTCGTTTCTCCCATGGGAAAGGCAATAAAAATAACAAACCGCCTGTCTCTTGGTCTAGTTTACAGGCGCTTTAAATGTCGAGCATTTATAGACTCTCTGCGACAGAATAATGCCATCTGACATCACAGTGCCATATGACCCTATGTGACGTCACCGTAAGACGCCATCTCAAGTCAGGTGACTTCAGTGTCATGCGAAGTCACCGTATCATGTGACGTGACGCCAGAACGTAAATCGTTTATGTCACTTGACGTCACGCTGTCATATGGAATCACAGTGTCACGTGAGGTTAGGTTGTCAGCTAGAAATCGATGATCCGATAGTTCCACATTTGGGGGCTCGTCACTGTTCCAAGACCGCGGTCAGACACCATCTATTGTGACACCACCAGCGTGAAGTTTCTACCAAAACTACACTAGAGCACAGACACACAAACCCGAAGGGCTGGCCATATAAAGGCCGGGAATCAATCGCTCGAAACGACGGGGAACGGTATGCCTGTAACCAAATCACAGCGATGACACGGTTACGGGTGTTGCCGTTTCTTTTGTAGTTTAGTTTCCTGTTTAGTTTTTCTTTTTTTTTATTTGAGTTTGCTTATTATGTAGAGGATGCTTCTTGACCATCAGTTGGTGCGCGTGCTCGTTACATCAATGTGTTGAAAAGTGGCCGTAAATGCAAGCAAAATATAACTGCTCACTTATACAACATGCTACAGTTAACTAGCCCGGCCCTTTTATTATGATCGGCACCGGGCACACCTCGAAAGTAATGTAGTAATGTATAGTTTTTTAACTTTTAGTTTGGTTATTGAACAACTTGTAAAAATAAGAGTCCCATCGCATCAGAGATATACCAATGTCAGTATTAAGCGTGGAGTTTGTTTAAAATGTACCAACTATCAAACCCCAAGTTTCGTAATGTTTTAACCTTGCTATTTAACTAAACTACGTTCTTAAGGCCCGTTCACTCTCTTGCAACCGAGTACGACTGGGAGAGACGAGACCTTTTGAAGCCTCTTAATATTTCTTAGGACGAGGGAACACACTGGCATTCTGGAGCCATCTATGCGGTTACCCTGGTACTGCATATCACAAGAGCGGAGGTTTTGCGGTATTTCCGCGGTCAAATGTGCGTAATATCTATAAGGAAGGCTCCTTTATAACGTTGACAAAAGTTTCTCGAGCCAAGAAAGAAACGATAATGCGCGAGAGAAATAGAAAATTGCCGAACCACCACGTTTGAACTGCTACCCAATGGATGGCGCCAGTGTGTCCTCTCGTTGTAAGAGGTTTCAAGGCACCCAGTTTTAAGAGGTCGCAAGAGTGTGAACGGGCCTTTATATCTTTAATAGCCCTTAAATCAAAGGTTCCAAAGGACTACAAGCAAATAAAATTATTACTCAATTGTTTATGCAGGCCAGTAACCCTGATGGATCATTCAAACACCTTGGAGCCTGCTATGAAGGAATGTGCCAAGAAGAGCCTGGAGGTGAAATCTACGTTGTCTGGAGAATTTAAATTTGTTAAGTGTTTATGGGGTTTAGTCGAATTAGGCATTTCCAGTTTTGAACAAAAACAGCGGCTTGAATGTCAGGAACGACGAGCCAAAAAAAGAAGCTCAATTTAGTAAATTTATTAATTACCTATTACAACCACTGAAGACACTCTGAAATAAAGCACGGAGTAAGCATATTTTGATACCTCCGACATTTTTATATAATAGGAAATTTCGAAACGTGAATTTTCTCCACCGTCTTGGGGTTGGAAATATGCAATATTTAAAAAAAGATTGAAGTACTTCTCGATTCTATTTGGAAGGGAAACTTTACAACACTATTTTAAGGCGGATGCATTTTATTAGAGACAACAGAAGCACATCTTGGCAACACTCTATGTGGCATATTCATTTCAATAATACAACCATAGTACTGTTTAGTCAGCAGATAAGATAAGTGTTATAAATTAAGCATTTTTGTTTTTTACTTCTGTTGACGTTGACTAAAACAAATACAGTGGTGTACCGCGCTCACACGTCAACATCTTTGTGCACTGGAATACTTAAAGAATAACTATACAAACGCACTTGTTTTTATTTTTTAGCTACAAACCTATATCAAACCGCGTTCGCAGATCAAATTTTCTAATGATGGTTTACATGCACACATGTTAATAGGTCTCATTGAGTTCAAGGGCGTTGGATCGAATAATGGAATTATTGGATTTTCATCCACACTCTAACTATAAAAAATATCTATTCTGAAAAAAAAAACGCTTAATGCCCTAACAGCAATATTCAGTTGATAAACATGCTAATTTAGCAAGTTTCGATTAATGTTTTGTGTTTGCAACTTCAATTATACCCTGCAGTTTCCAAAATGGACAAAAACACAAACGAGAATCTATGTGGTTCGGATGTTAGATTGAGGAGAAGCTCTTAAAATTCTCATACTACACTTGTCGGTTTGTTTGTATCGGATGGCAAATATGACTTGAATTATTATCTTTTGGAAACAACTAACGAAATTAGCGACGGAAGGAAAAAAATAGATTTTTAAAGGTCTCTTGTAGATAAATCAAGCACATTAAATTTTATCGCTGAACCGGAGCAGCAGAGATTTATAGCCCACTAAGAAAAAAATAGTCCACGTAGAGATTTATCTCGAAACACAGGAGGAAGAGCCGACCTATCTTCTTTTTTTCTTCAAAAAGCAATTACAGCAAGAGGCACGTTAGCCAGCGACAGCTAAACAGCTGTCGATCACTGAAACGAGTTGTCACGTGACGCACCGCATCAGATTGTGCCCGATTTCCTGCATTGAAAAAAGGCCTTCCGAAAATTTTATCTTTGAATGCGTAAAAAGTCCTATATGTGAACCGCAGCTCGGCTCACGTTAACCGAAAGCTCGCGCTGTTAGACATCAATTCGTCGGGTTGGTTAGATTAGGTTAAGTTACGCTAGGTTATGTCAAGCTTCACAAGCCGGGATAGCTCTCTTCGCCCTCACTTCTGCCTTTTTTACCGTGAAATTAAAAATAACCCTACCAAAAAATCCGGTATAACTTTTCGCTATCTGGATTATGGAACCGGAAATCTATCTGGATTCTATCTGGACTCTATCTGGAATTTAGGTTTTCAGAAATTATTCCTTTGTTCTCAATCTGGATTTGGGGTTTCCAGTAACAAATTTTCGGTTCCATATTCCGGATAGGGAAAGTTATACCGGATTTTTCGGTAGGGAAGGAAAAAGATTATCTTCATTAATCCCCATCCTTGCCCCTTTTAATTTGCATGCCATCACACCGGCTAGCGGTATGTTACCACTACTGCGTGACGCCGATTAAAAACCGAAAGCCAGCAGTTCGTCACCACTGGGTAAATTTACCACTTAAAACGTAAATCAGTCTCGTCATACGACAAAGGCAGACCGACATCCCGCTAGGGTTCGATTTATTGGACGGCCAAGGAAAAGGGGGGGGGGGGGAGGGGGGGTGCGTCGGCTCTGCGGAAAAGTAGCACCACGGAAGAAGCATTGCCTTCATCCATTTTGTTGACTTTATATTCTCCACCTCCGCAAAAAGTAAATATTTCTTCCAGTAAAAAGCTAGTTTCTGTCGGGTTTTTTTTTTTTCTTTTTTCATTTAAAAGACGTTAATTTCGTGAGTGTTAGCCTTTCGGTGCCCCGTCGCCCCCTTAAATCCGCCAATTCCTTAAGCTCTCGATACAGAAACAGCAAATGTTGTCTTTATGTATGTTGTAGTTATAGTCACAGGAAATCAGTATCCACAAAACCTCCCCGTCGCTTCTCCAAGACATTCAATGACACCACTGAATCTAGCCTTTTTTTTTAGCTCTGCGTTTATTTTGCTGCAGCTTTTTATAAGCGCTAACCTTAGTGATGTTTGAAGTGCTCAAGCAGTGCTGAACTATAGCGCTGCTCTCTATTAAAAAACACCCCAGAAGGTGTTTTTTTAAAGGAGCTGTGCAACAATTTCAGGGCTTTGCTTAAATAATTCTGGAAGTTGATGCCTGACAGTTCTGCAGTGAACTACAGAAAATAGATTTTGCCTGGATAACGTAGTTTTTATTTTAAAAAAAATGAAAAAGGTCCAGGTTTTTGCCGCCTCTCAACTCGTACTTTGTCTTCGGGGTCACGTGCACAGTGACGTCACTTGAGTAGGCGCGGGGTTCCGGAAAAGTTCTCTCGCGACCGCGTGACCACGTGCTGGCGGGCGCCCCGCGAAATATACGGTGAAAGGAGGAAAGTCTCATCCGGGTCCGGCCATATACGTCCTTGCCCGTCCGGCGCTGTCCCCCTCCCCGTCCGGCTTCTGGCGGCTATGAGCGGTTTTGTGGACCTAGGATAGATGGCGCCACTTAAACTACGTATAATAAAAGTGTTGTCGATGATACCAGGGTTGTGACGCATTGATATATATGTTGGAACGACAAGATTTATAGAAAAGTTACCTTTTATCGAGCAGGTATTCGCACAACTTGCTATCTTTTTTACAACTACCCAAGTGACGTCACGCCGCTTGTTTCTCATGGCCGCCGCTCATGGCTGCAGGTCGGGAAATATTCTAAATTTTGCCTCGCTATTGCGCGGCGGAATCGCAACATTTTGATGAAAGGAGGTGTGTTTTCTGTCATTTGTGACACAGTGAACAATATCAAAAGCAGAAGATGCTAATTCTTTCAACGTTAAAATCGTTGCACAGCTCCCTTAAGGAGTGAGAATAATTTACGAAAAGTTTCTTAAAGTAACGAGGTGATTCCTTTAAGATCAAGCTTTTGAGTCTGAGCGGCATCAGGTTACAATTCTAAAGTTACATTTACGAAGTAAGTACCTAACATTTTACGTACTTAACACAAAATGTAAGTAAATCACCTGCTTATAATTTTCTTTTTCCCTGGAGCGTGGTTTTAGATGCCTAGCTAGAGTTCGCTTGCCGCTGTGTGAAAACTAAAAACCGCAGTATACAAGTGTATAAAAGCACGGCTTTGTGTATTACCGCCATAAAAACGCCACTCTTGTTACCCCTGTGGTAAGGTAGCTTATATGTATGCATCGTGTCATGAGCGTCATAAAAATGTTCGAGTTTTTCTATATAACTTTTTTACCAATAACATGAATCATTATTGGTATTCCTAAAGAGCCATTTAACTACAAGCCAGATAGTAAAATTATTCAGAGTGACTTAATCATATTACATTTAAAATGTATGTTTTCAGGTCCTAATGGGGAGCTACCCAACCAGTGGGCTGATGAATATCATATGTGTGCAAGTAATACAAGTTTAAATGTAAGTGCACAGAAACAATTACGAATAGTTTTTGTTTCAACGAAAGAATTACGTGTAAAATACAGAACACGGTGGTCCGCTGTCTGTATAATATACGTCTGTTGAAATTACGAAAGATGTGCTGTCCCTGTTTTCTTCTTTATGCGTAATTATTTCCTAAAATAATTGACAATATATACTCGATAACCCTTAAAGCTATAGATTAAGTGTCGCATGCGCGGTATTTTTTATGTGCAGCAAAAAATGCCATAATTCAATTAATCTAAACAAAAAGAAAAATGAACTACACTTTAAGTAACTTCCGTTATGCGTTACGAAAAACCTTGGCGAGTAGTATCTCCATGTGCAACATCTAGAAAGCAGCTTAATGCTCTAGGCTGCACCTTTATTAGAACCAACAAAGTTATTTCAACAAATGTAGTCGCAATGAATTAAGTATGGGCGATTGACACATTAAATAAAAGCACAAAACTAGGCGTATTAAAGGATATATAACATTTTTCAAATCATCCTGTAAAATATTCAAATGGTATTTATTTCCTTTCAAGACACCAGTTAAAAATTGCGCATTCATCTGCAAAATGAAAAGGGAACAGCACTTACCTGAAGGATATTTTTTCGGCATTTTTAAACATCCTTCAAAATGCGAGGTGAGTTTTAAATTTTGTTTATATATAAAACATTTAATACTTCATAAGTTAAAGAGACATGCTCCTAACTGAATGCATTCAGCATAAGATTTAAATAAAGCCATTATTTATTACGAATCATGCATCAGCTATGTTTTTTTTGTATATTTAAAGCCAAGTCGCACATGCAATCGAAATTCGCCGGTAAGAGCCATATATCACCCAGTTTTGGCGGCATAAAGTACACTTTTATATGAACTAGGAAGTCAACATACCTTCCGACGAACAAAGACCTTTCCCGGATTCCGTCTAAATAAATTAATACAGTGCGTGCTAGTGAAGGCAGCGTAAAATAAACATAAATGTGAAAGGTTGTTGCAGCACCTCGACGGGATGATAATATCCAAAAGTTGTTGATCACTGTTTTCGTTTTTTTTAAATCCTATAGTATTTCTTTCGGCACACCCCTCGGGAAAATTCCGCATTCATAAACGAAACAAACGCGCATGAACGGGAGAATGGCTGGGAACATTTGAGAAGAGAGAACGACAATATGAAACTCCTCAAACGGGAATCGAACCCAAGATCCCACGAGTCTCAGACCGACGCCCATACAGATCGCCGAATAATAGTTTTTTTTTTCTTGATCGTTGCGCCTGAAAAGAGGCTTGCGAAACTGTATTTCTTAAATAAGATAACATTTTGTTGGCCAACCAACACCGCGGTACTTGCAAGTCGCACCAGGGGTAGCTCTGACTTTTGCTCCCGCTGAACGAGGGCTCTTGCAGCCGAGTCCCAATCGAACGCAAGGTGATCACTTTTGTTCCCATCACTGTGCAGGTATTACTCCGCTTCCAACGGATGAAACAATCTTGAAAGGGGTCATATAGTACATGGTGGTCAAGCCAAATATCCGAAATATATCAAAAGAGCAAGCTGAGACAAACAGAGAGAAAAAGAATATATTGGGCCTGAGTTTTAGAAGTGCGAAGTTTGGAATAAGGGTGTTTACTGCTGGGGAGCGTGTTTGAGTAAGCGCCTGGAGAGACCGAGTGAATAGCTACGCGGTACAAGAAGGACGCTACTTCGGCAGTTGTCATTCGTATATCCACAAGGACGTGCTGCAGAAATTTCGAGGACGTCATTTTTTTAACGTTACTGTGGGCGTGTCTCGCAAAGGCCTTTTAACATGTAACTTTTAATAAAAAAACTATTAAAAAATAACGATGAAAATTTAAAAATATATTACCCTTTCACAAATCTTTAAACTGGTGTCGCCTCGAACAGTAATTGCCATTAATAATGCAATTTGAACATTATCTACTAAAGCAAGGATTAAACACTTATTAACAGATTTATTTTAATCATCAGCCTGATCATAAAGCGTATCTTCCCACCTAATATTTGTCGAGCTCCGTATTTGAATTACAAGGACGGCATTCACGTAGCTGTATTCCCTTCCCTGTAGAGAAATGTTTTCCAATAAAATCACCGTCTCTGTCTTATTGAATGTCTGGAGGTCTCGGCTAAACTCCACGTTCTCACAAATGTCTTTTTTTTTTTTTAATCCTTTCTAGTTCGGGTGCGTATTTTCGGCACCGATTTGATGTTCAGGGGGCGTGGGCAATGACGCCATGGGTGTCAAAATTATATTTGCCGTTATTTTAACGTAAACACATTTTATTTTGGAAGCCGCCGACTACATTTTGAAACGTCGGTCGGTCAGCGAGTGTGTGCGTGCTCGGGTGCTTGGCGGTGTCCTCGCTGGTGTCTGTTGTTGACGTGCCGCCTGTGCTCGTCGCGTTCTGTTTCGTATCAATTGCCGACATCCAGGAACATCAAGGTAAGCGTTGTCCAATTTCGTTCGCCCGGTGCCGTCCGTCACTCCTGTTGCAAATGAAGATTTGTAGTGTCCAGAGTACCGTCCGACGGCACTTTTGCAGAGCGTTCAAGTGCCATCCGACAGCACTCCACTCACATGTTAAGTGCTGTCCGAAAGTCTCGTATACAATCAATTGTGAAAACGAGATTTGCGAAGCTGTAGCGTAGCTTAGCTGTAAGATGTCTGCATCACGCGCAAGTGGTCGCGGTTTCCATCCACAGTTCATGGTTCCTTTTTTCTTTTTTTTTTTGAACTTTGTTTTTGGAGGGGGGGGGGGGGAGCATTTGGCGATATTTACGACATTTCCTTTTTACGGTTAACACTGAAAGAAAAAGAAAATTATTGTTGTCGACGAATTTTCTCTGAACAAATTACCATGGAGCTTCCTTTCCGGAGGTGCATGGGGGACAGCGGGGCTTGGTTTGTTGGCTGGACGCTTCGAATCGGCGTGTACGACGTCGACGGGGCCACCGTGGACGGGGCCAAGTGGGCTAAGAGTTTTGTAATTAGTAGCCGCATACTGTCGCCAAGGTAACGTACGACAATGCTAAAAGTGCGAGCTAGTTGCTTGCTCGCCGCTTGCAAGGCTTTCGCAGCTGTTCTATACAAGGGTGATAATCCATCGTATCACACAGGAGTGCAGCTCCAGAAAAAAGGCGTACAAAATTACTGCGGCTAGTCTCTGTCGCCTCCGGTACACGTAATCTTAATTCGCAACAGGAGTGACGGATGGCACCGGGTAAACTTTGAAAATGGAGAACGCTTACATTGATGTTCCTCAGAACACGACGAGTACAGGCGGCACGTCAAGAACATACACCAGCGCGGACACCGCCGGGTCGCCGAGCACCCGACCACTCAAACACGCCGAGTGACAGCCATTTCATAATGCAGTCAGAGGCATCCAAAATAAATCGTGTTGTGGTCTTCAAAATAACAGTGAATGTTGTTGTGACGTCCTAGACGTCAAAATAAAAAAAGCGTTATTTTGACATCTGTGACATCACTGGCTATGTCCTCTGGACATCAAATCGCTGCCGGAAATACGCAGTCTTCATATTCAGTTAAATTAACAAAGAGGCTTCAAAATCCTATTTACTCAGTTGTTGATCCATATGGTATATCCAATTCTTAAGACTCTTTCCTATACGTGCTACCGCTATACTTTGTTTCAGCTTCGGTCCAGACGCAGCCGATGCTACAAACGCGAGCATGTGGCGCAGAACAGTGCTTGCACTGCACGAGCGCGCGTGGTTGGCAGGAATGCTGAAAGCCCGGAGCTCGCGCTTGTAGCTTTGGCTGCGTCTGGACCGAAGCTGAAACGAAGTATAGCGACCGAGTGCGTTAAAACCTCTTGTGATCTATTACGTCAAGAGAACACGCTCTCGAAATTTATGGGGTAGCGAAGGAACCCTTCTTATTCTGTATAATTCATTTTTGGTCATCCTTCTCTTTTTATTGCCTTGAAAAGCTTTTGACAATATTCTAAATTACCTTCTTTCATAGATAGTTCGAACATTTGATTTCACTCATACTCCAAAACATCCACTCTGGTGAAATTCAGTTTCAGAGCCCCTTCATAGATGGCACCAGCGCGCAGATTGTTTACCCATAGCCTGCTTTATACGAAGAAAGCCTGACGCGTCTCGAAAAGAGGCGGCCGCCGAAAATGGGAAAGGAGGGGCGGGGAGTTAGGGAAGCGGAGGGGAGATTGCCTGCTAGCACCACACAAGAGCGAGCGGCCAATCGCAAAAACACTCTTATTTCTTTCCTCTATTATTTTCGGAATTATGGAGAGGAGAAACTCAACTTCAACCCTTGAATTTTCCCGTTCCTCCCTGCGTCCGCATCTCCGGGACGGTCCATGAACGGTCGTGGCTGTCGGTTTCGTTTAGTCAAAATGGCATGGTTCTTCCGCGGCACGACACGATGGTCCGACGACGGCGCACTCCGTTGGCACGCCAACAACTCCGCCGACGCCACCGGCATGGTGCATTGTTGCCAGCGCACTTTCAAATCGCCGCAGCCGTTGCTCCCGGAGTACGAAAGCAACGGTGACGAAAACAAGAAAACAAACGTGGTTCGGGGAGCGGCTGCTGCACGACCCAAGCGCTCGCGCACTATCCCTGCCCGTTGTGCTCTGCGCTACCATATTGGTCACCGTACCGCGTGCTCCTCCTCTCGTTTTTGCTGCGGCCGCGTGCCCTATATTTCCGTCGTCGATGTGCCAGTCTTTCTCCGTATAGAGGAGGCTATGGTTTATCTCTCTATAAGAGACCACAGGAACACGGTCGTAAGCGAACTCGAGTCTGTGAACCCGACTTTTTACTTACCATTATATACGGCCACTTTGCTGCATTCCATTAATATGAAAGCTTCAAATAAACACGTTTATGTTTTTTTGTTTTTTTTTCAGCTTGGAAATGGCAAGGTTGGTGTCTGCGCAAGTGGGCATTGTACCGACCCGGAACTTTACCCGAAAATCGATGACGGTGAACTAAAACCATCATCTAAATAAATGAACTCTGGCACCCAATTGGGTTTGCTGGCACTAAGAACGACGTTTCAAATATTCAATCTCCCATAACAAATGCAATTTGAATTTACGCATGGCGACACTGCTCGGCTTAAGTATGAGTGGCCGTTTTTTTGTTTTTTTCAATTTTTACTGATGGTCCTATCAGACCGAAAAAACTAGTGTGGTGCGAACCATTTCGGCCGCAAACCTACGTAGTATATATATATATATATATACTACGTAGGTTTGCATATATATACATATATATATATATATATATATATATATATACATGGTGTTTCAGAGAATGCAGGCCAAATCGCTCCTGCGAAAACTACTCATCGCAACGAAAAAAGGCTTGTGGCGTTTTGGTCCTGGGCCAGGGGCCCATTTCGGAAAATTATTAAGGTCCGGGATAATTAAATTGTTAATTATTTTTGCGTAATTAACTTTTTAATATCGTGTTTAAGGGCGTGGTTTCAATTAGAAAATTGCATAGCATCATTGAAAAATACTAAATCAACAAATTGCAGTACAATAGAAGGCACGCGAAGCATTTTACAGATTTCTGAAGAACCGTTCAAATTCGACGGGTTTTTAAGTTTCGTTTTGTTGTCGGAGCGCATGTCGGCCCCGGCAGCACCGCGCCCCGTGGAGAGATAGTGCAACCAGCCTCTGCTGCGTCTCGCGATGACAGCGCAGCAGAGGTTGGTTGCACTATCTCTCCACGGGGCATGGAAAGATAGTGCACCCGGGCAAGAGGTAATTAAACAACTAGTGCAACGATTCTTTAATACATCGCTATGGGACTCGATATTCCGAAACCCGGTTCTCCCAAAACCGATCGCTTCCGGTTCGGATGCGTTCCCTGCCCGTGAGGTGTCCTACATTTTGTCGGTCGCGTTTGTTAGCACCGCGACGTTGCTTGAATACGCTTTAACGCGAGACAAGTATATGCGTTTCTTTTTTTTCTCTTTGTAGGACACATTGTTAGCAGCACGCACCTAAATAAAGTACTTCCTGCTAATGTGTTCGGAAGAATATGTGTATAGTCGTTACATTTTATTATCTACCGTTCTAAGACTTTATATTACTACTGCTCCGTTACCTTTTTTTATTAAGTACTTATAGTTTTATACATGTTCAGTAATAAAATAAACTACCCACGGCAAGCCAATCAAGTTAAATTTCTTGCCGCCCTTTTAATGACTGATTTATTGATAGTACGTTAACAATTTATTTTGTACAAATGCACCACCCTCTTTACTCAATGAAAGAATGAAGATCATGATTAGCGAATTTAATGGAATTGCTATAGAAATTGTTTATTTGACATACACTGTTGTTGTACATGGTGTTTACATTCAGTAAGAAATGTTTGCTGCAGAAACAATTGACTGTTGTTGGTTGTCTGTATGAATTACGATAGTATTCAATATGAGACTCGCAAGACAACTCACTTTGAATACGATTACGCGAATACACTTTATTTTATGAATGGTCTACGACGCAATTATTGACGTCACCGCGACTCCAGCGCGGCACTTTTAAATTTAGTGACTCTTCGTCTTTGTCTAATTGTTTAATCTTCTGTGTCTCCGTAATCGCTTAATGTTCCAGCTGTTTACGCGGTATCATCGCAGTTTCTAGTGTGTGTCTTTTTATGTCTCTCTTTAGTCGGTTCATGTTCGAACTGTAGAACCACGAGCATTGACAATGTACCAGCAAGCTCCACTGAAGCCGAAAATTTCTTCGCCGCTTGGGCGCTAATGTGAATGTGTGCGTACTGCCACTCCGTGTATGTGGGGCGCGGGTTTATGTACTTGCTAGGACAATGTCGAGGACGAAGTCCTAGAGGACGACGTCAAAGTCGACGACTAACGCGACCTCTAGGACAACATCGAGGACGACGTCAGACACGAAGTCGAAGACGACTTATATGGCGATCTCGAAGACGACCTTACAGACGACGCCTAGAACGACCTCTAGGACGAACTCCAGGTCGATCTCAAGGACGACATCTAGAGCGACCCCAAGGACGACGTCCTGGACACTGACGTCCGTATACAGGTGGCGCCTGCGTATGTGAACGTCGTACGTATCTGGACACTCTGCACATCGAGCTACGCATACGCATGGCGCAATCGAGACCAGAGACCGTATCGCGAAAACCAGTGATGTATGTAAAGAGAGCTATCGGAGCGACAGCACACAAGAGAGTTAATTAGGGTCAGTATCATACTGGGACCGAAGATTCAGCAGTCTGCGAGATTCTCGCGTCTGGATTAGAACCCAATGGGATAAATCCTCTTTGGTCGCCAATCATCTGCTGGGTGAGGCTTTGCTCGGTCTTTAAGGCAAAAATTACACTAAACTCGTTCATTGTGAACTTCATTCTTCGTTTTAGTAAATAGGGTATAAATTCTACGACATAAAGCGTAAACGGATTAATAATTCATCACACATTAAACGACGGCGAGAAATTTAGCTTCATTGGATTGTGGTGGGAAGGTTTTATATTACCAAACTTTGAAAAAGGCTGTAAGTAGAGGTAATAAAATATAAAGGCACACGGTAATCATATAAAGCCGCGTAACGGTACAACATAATATGTAATGGCAATACATATGGTCTGTAAAACACTTTAGCAGCAAGTACTTAAATTTAACTCGTCCTGCTAATATTGCGTACTACAGCAAAAAGCAGCATGCATTTACGTCGTGCTGTTTTGACGCCGTGCTTTTTTTTCGCGTGCAGTGTTGTTGATGTGCTCTTTTGACGTGGTGCTGTTTTGACGCGTCCTATTTTGAACGAGCTGCTTTGTCGCATGCTGCTCTGCCACGTTCCCGAAGGCTACATCGGTAGAAACGACTCGATACATTACTCAACGCGAACAACATTTTTTCTGTATTGGAGGGTCGGCGCACAGATTAATGTTTTGAACTGTCTCAACAGGAGTGTGAACACTTCTGCATTGGTTCGACACGCCGAGAAAGAGAGAGAGAGAGGTCTTGCGAAAGAGGAAAAAGTAACGTGGGGAGTTACAGCCAGAGGCCACGGTCCTCGTTAACTGGGGAGGGGGGGGGGGAGGGGAGGAGGAGGAGGGGATAACAGCTGACAGAAGAGAAAATTGTGAAAAAAAAAGGGAAATTTTTTTTTTTTTTTCCTCGAAGCTGCAAGCAGGGACCGAGGAGCCACAAACCGCCTGGCGAGCATCATAATTTTCTACATTGGTACAAATTTGCTCAAAAACTCTACATATGATTTCTTAAAAAAATGGCTTTGACAAAATATATTTAGTTTTTTAGCCGAATATTGAGTTGTCTGGTCACCGTAGATTATGATACCTGCTAAGTGAATTGAGAGTGAGCTGTGGTGCTTAGACACCTAAACATAGTGGTATGCCCCCCCCCCCCCCAACATGAGTTTAACAATAAAAAAATTTCTATTCTACTTATGATTTGCTTTAGGTTTCATTAGCATATATAGTATTGATTTCATAACTCACGCTAGACTTGGGGTCGCAATAATGAAACTGGGCTTGCGTCTCAGGAAGTTGGCTACATTTTTGTTGTATGTTCTCTGTCGCAACGAAAATGTATAAAACATCAGTTCTGCGCGGCATTCGCTATGGTCATGAAAGAATCATAATATTCTGTGCTCCATAACAAATATAATAAGAAAGTAAGCAAAAACTTGATGTTGGAATAACATGGAAATTCAGGCTATAGTTGGAGGTTTTTACGAATATTGTTGTCTATATGAAGACGTTGAGTGTTCGTTTGAGAGGTTAAGGTTTTGGAACGCGCTCTAAGAAACGTTTTTTTTTTATACATCACTTTACCATTAAAAAAAAAGCTGAGTCATCTATAATCCACTTCAAAGAGGTAATTTTGTTCGAGGGTTAAGTTAAAGTTACTAAAGTGAGCAATAAAAGCGTAATAAGTATTGATTGAGTGTAGTTTTAGAAGAAAAATAAAATTGTTAGTTCGAATAAAATTAAATAGTGGTATGCTTGTGTGTGGAACGTTACACAAATTGTACCCATAACTTCTGCTGTCGTGGATAACATACACATTCAGCAGGGTCAACAAAGTTTAAAAAAATTGAGCAGGGCTTGCTTAATTCATAGTACAGACACAGCAATAACTGCAAGACAACACACTTAAGTTGAAGGGCATTGACGTCGTGTTCACGCACCGTAAGGCAGGGGGGTTCGTGAACAGAAGCGTTCGGAACAAAATAGCCATATATTTTGTTCCGAACGATTTTGTTTTGTTCCACGTTCTACCGAACGCTTTTTTTTTTTTTGTTCCAGAGCGTGTCAAAGCGCGTTTCCTGGCACTAGCTCTTGGCATTGACAGTGATATTGCCGCGTGCAGGGTCACGGACTTCTAGAACTTTCTCGTTTATTCTTGCTCCGGACATAACTTCTATCGTTTATTCCTGTTTACGTTGTTCTAGAAAGTGCGTGTTCATTCTCGCCCCGAGCGCGCTACGCTCGAACCTTCTCCGCCGAATCTTCGAGATAGTGACTCACTCTAGATAAGACGCCGCTCGCGACCTTGTCGAGTCAGTTTTTGCCCCAGCGTTGGACTCTGCTGCTACGCCGACCTCGACGCTCGCGACGCTCTGTTATTATCTTTTGTACCCTTTTATTTTTGGCACAAGTTCGCCACATTAAGCGTTTATTTATTCCTGTTTATTTCTTGTTTATTGGTCACCACCCGTGACATTTTGGTGGAGGTGCGGGGTACCGCATACCCGTGCAAGGGTCCCCTCCAAGGGCCCGCAGTGTAAGTCCGATTCCCTGCTCGGTGAAAAGACCACTCACCGCGGAACCCGAAACTCGGACCAGCCGCCGCACCAAGGGGAGGATCCTGAGTACGGTTTGCTGCTGGACAAACCCAAGCCGAAGAAGACGACGATGGCCAACCAGTCGCAAGCCCCCGCCGCTTCTCCCGTCATCTACATGCCCGTCGCACCGCGGACGGCTGCCCCCTTCCACGGTGAACTGTACGAAGACGTCGAAGACTG